CCCCCCCCCCCCCCCCCCCCCGCACGCTTGAGCTCACCTGCAGCACCCCCGCCATGCCCTCCACCTCAGGGGCATCCTCCTGGAAGTTAACGGCGAACGCGTGGTTTGCCGGTAGATCCGGTCCCAACTTTCCTCCAAAACCAATCACCGGGAACTTCTTGTCCGTGTCTGCAGCAACAGCACAAGAAACGAATAAAATACATGACTGCACTTGAGGCGAGAACCTCACAACAGGAAAACGGTAAAACACCTCTCGCGTTATGGGAGACAAAAGACACGTAACACTGCGCTGTCTCCAGTTTTTGACCCTGCGTAACCGTTGACAAGACTTCCGAAAGAAACGAAAACAGACGATCCTATGAAAGCTCTCGTCTCACCGTAGAACTCCAACACGCGACCGATGCCACTCATCGCCCTGGCGTAGTCGTTCAGAACCGTTCCCGCGGGATCGACGTAGTGCAGCGAGCGAGGGTCGGCGGGAGTACCATTGGAGGCCGTGTAGTCGATCGCCATCGTGAACGAGATCTCTGTTCCGCCTGCGTGCAGTACAGAGTTCACAAAAACGAAATAGGATAGTGTTCGTTATTTCACCGCATGTATATCGAGATACACCAAGGATTAGTACAGTTGTCATCCAGCAGCGGCACAATCCCAACACCTTCCTCCCTCGGACCTCTCCTTTTAAGGCACCACCGGCCTACCCTAACCTACCCTAACCTAACCTAACCTAACCTAACCTAACCTAACGTAACCCTACCAAACCTCACCTCACCTACCCTACCCTAGCCTAACCTTACTTACCCTAACCTAACCTAACCTAACCTGCGATGTAGTCCAAGAAGGACGGGCGCTCGGTTATCGTACACAAGTCCACGACCAGCCTGCCGGAGTCCTTGTAGCTGGCGCTCTTCGCCTCCTTTTTCGGGTTCACGAGGGCCGGGCCTCTCGAAGCATCATCCGACGCTGTTGACCACCTCTGATGGACATGGGCCGAAAGCAGGGGGGGGGAGGCGGGTCAGGACGTGCTGGGCTTTTCTGTCTCTCTCGAATACACCAGACGGAGGAATGAGGGAGAAAATGCCGCCCCTACTGGTGTATTCGTCTCATCTGCCGTACCTTTCTTGCCGGCTCGGGTCCCCACGAATCGAAACGATCGATGTCACCTGGCGTGTGCATGTGTGTGTGTGCTTTTTATTCTTCCGCTTGTCATGATATGCCTTCATCTCGAAACGATACTCCTTTCTCCATCCCGTGTTACTGCTTACGCGATACCCTCGAGTGCCCTCTCGTTCGCATTTCAGCTTCTTCAAATCACCCCTTCACAATGGTTGCGATAAGAACGCACTTCTTCCTCCCCTCCTTTCGATTCGGGAGCCTGTTTGTTGTTTTACGTCCCTCAAAATCAACTCACATCGAACCGAGAAACTATCCTCGAGCCGCCCCCCGCCAACGTCCTCCCAGAGAAGTGCACCGCAACAAGGCCTTGACGTACTCCACTAATCCGTCAAACGGGCATGACGTCCCCTTCCCCAACTCGCCCCCCCCCCTCCGGAAGCTCACGCCAACCTAAGAGACATCGAGATTTCGTACACTCCTTTATGTATCGGCCAAGGGTGCACCACGCCCTTCACGTCAATGGACTCCTCGTGCACAAACCGGCCTGTTCTCGCCGAGCTGGTACAGTAGTCCCTCCCCTAAACGCCGCACCTGCATGTCGGCGATGGACGCCGAGCAGCCGCCGATGAAGTCGTGCCCGCCCGCCCTGTCGTAGTCCCAGCACTCCACCCGGAGGGGACGCAGGAGGTCGCCGTTCGCCAGCTGCTGGACCGTGCCCTGCACACACACACAAGAGAGAGCACCGACGCGCACACGCCACACAGACAGATGGACGGATGAATCCGATAACCAAAAAAAAGAGGCGACGTCGTGTCAGGCAGAGAGGGAGGAAGCCGATAACTGCTGTCTTGACCTATGACCGAAGGGTTTGGATGCCATGACTTGAAGACGGGTACTCCGTACCGCAAAACGTGTTCAATCTTTTTTGTGCCGACATTCGTATGTATCTCTTCCACCAAACATACGTTACGCCGCCATAACGCGATCGCATACCTGTATCTCCCTCCACACGGGGTTGAGCGTTCTGCTCTGAACTTCAGTCTTGAAGATGTACGTCTGCTCTCCCGTCTCCAGCACGCGCGCAATCTTGAGATACGGATCGCTGGACGTCAAGTCCTTTTTGTCAACCTGGTGGAGGAAGTCACGTTCCCGTTTTTTTACTGGCAAAAAACAGGCGGTCATTAGGCCAGACGAAAAATGCTGCCTCTACATTTTTTGGCCTATTTCAGAGATGCTGCCCGACCAACTTCCTTGCGAAGCAGCAACCCACTCGACTCGTCTCGGGTCTCTTCCATCACACTAGTTTGCACAGTTCATGCTTAGGATGGGTTGGAGGACTAGGCGTGATGCCCTCCGCCCAGCGCTGACAAGCGTTAAGGCACGGTGGGGCGGAGTGAGAGCTATCCAGTCCGAGGGTAACACCACGCTGCATAATAACGTAAAACCCCCACTGGTTCATGTCGAGGACGGCTGGGAAATGCTCCCCGATCACCCGACGGACACACGAACAACAGCCGTGCTTGGTTTTGCATGCCCCCTCTCACCCCGTTTCAACCGCGCGGCAAGACGAGCTACACAGTGGCCCGTGGAATCACACAAACAGGGGAGGCCGCGCTACTCTACGGTGCGCGAATGAGACGAGAACAACTCACCCGACGCACTTGCAAAAACTACCGGTCCGCATGCGCAATCCACGCCATGAATGAGGCTATAGCGGTCCCGCACACGTCTGCAGCCAACAACCGTCCCGTGAAGCGCTGCAACGTTGCAAGCATGGCCTCTTTGGCGAATACGTTCACCTCCCCCGTCTCAACACCAAGGTGCTTGACCGTTGGCGTCGTTTGAGTCTAACGGCGAAGCGCAGCACAAAATACCCCCCCCTGCTGTTTGCGGATGATTTTGTCGGTATGTCGGACACCCCTGAGGGACTGCAACTGCAAATTGACGCGGCGAAGAAGATTACTGATAAGTGGAGATTGTCTGCCAACGTTCAGAAGAGTGCCGTCATGGTATGCAACGAGAACAAGGAGGAACC